AAAAAAATTTCCAATGGAAGATCTACTAGTAGGCATTGAAATGGGGGTTAAAAGTGTTGATTTTAATAATCAAGACTTAGCAAGAAGGGAGTGTTTAAATTTTCTACAAAAAAATTCTGTTATAAATAAAGGGGGTTTAGGAAAAAATGAAAAACATTCACGACTCATAAAAGACTTAAAAAATAAAAACTGTTTTTATTTAAAGGCAGATAAGGGGAATTCTGTTGTAATACTAAAAAAAGAAGATTATTATGAAAGAGTATCAAGAATGATTCAAGAGGGTCCTTATAAAGAAATTAAAAAGAATCCATTAAGTAAAATGATAAGGGAGGCTACAAACGTCATAAATAGTTCAAAATTAATAATCGAAGAAAAGTTCAGGTTTTTCATTAAAATTTCAAACCCTCAAATACCTAAACTATATGCTTTGCCAAAAATACATAAGCCAGGAAGTACTATGAGACCTATTGTGTCGAATATTAATGCTCCGACTTACAATTTGGCTAAACACCTAGTAAGGGTATTTTCATCTTTCAAAAAATTCGATAGTTTTTCAGTTAAAAATAATATTGATTTAGTTAAACAATTATCTAGTTATACCATTCAAAATAATGACAGGTTAATTTCTTTTGACGTAGTTGCCTTATTTCCGAATATTCCAATAAATATAACAATTGATTTTCTTAAAGACTGGCTAAAGGACCAAAACATTGAACAGGATAAAATAAATGAGCTTATTAATTTAACAAAGTTATGTATGAGTCAAAATGTTTTTCAGTTTCAAAATAAATTTTATGAGCAAACTGAGGGCACAGCAATGGGAAATCCGCTATCACCATTTTTAGCAGAACTTTTTATGAGTAGGTTTGAAACAAATTTAAAATACACTTATGGTGATTTTCCAAAAATTTGGGTTAGGTATGTCGATGATATTTTTGCAGTTATAAATAAAGATTTTAATATGGGGGTTTTCATACAACATTTAAATTCTTTTTACCCATCGATTAAATTTACATATGAACAAGAAATAGAGGGAAAATTGCCTTTTTTGGATTTATTAGTTAAAAGAACAGAGGGGGAACTAAATTTTGAAATTTATCGGAAAAACACACACACGTTCAGATACATTCCGAACACATCGAACCACACCTGGCAACACAAATTGTCAGCTTTTAATAGTATGGTTTACAGATTAATTAATATTCCGATGAATAAAATAGATTATGATAAAGAATTGGTGGTTATAAAAGAAATAGCTAAATTTAATGGGTATAACGAAAACATAATTTTGAAATTAGTCCGAAAACAAAAGTGGAAAAAAGAAAGGAGGGCAGCTAGTACACTCTCCAGCGAGGGGGAACAAAAAGTAATTAGATCACCAATTTTATTTTATCCGGGCATCTCAAATGGATTAACTAAAATATTTAAGAATTTTGGTATTACTTTGGTAACATCTAAGAGTAATAATTTAAGAGATTTATTAGGTAACCCTAAAGATAAGGTAGATGAAGGGGGGAAATCAGGCATTTATAAAATACAATGTGAAAGTTGTAATAAATGTTACGTAGGACAAACAAAAAGAAATATAGGGGTCAGGTTTAAAGAGCACTTAAGAAATATTAAAAATCAAGAAATTGAGAAATCTCCAGTGGCTGAACATTTATTGACAC